GTGGGATGAAAGGCAAGTCTGGAATGTGAACACAGAAGGGTATCACCCTTTTAGAAAGGACAGGAAGGGAAAGAGGGGTGGGGGCGTAGCTTTATACGTCAGGGAAGGGATGGGATGCAGTGAGATAGAATGCAGCACAGACGGGGATTCAGCAGAGGCAGTCTGGGTGAAACTTCGGGGTTTTGACAGGGAAAGGGACCTGACAGTGGGGGTATGTTATTGCCCTCCAGGTCAACTTTAGACCCTGGATGGTGGCCTGACAGACCAGATTCTAATGATATCTCAGGGGAGAGGCACAGTAATTATGGGAGATTTCAATCTCCCGGATATTACTTGGGAGACTCACTCGGTGGTGACAGCCAGGTCACGTTGCTTCCTAGAAGCTATAGAGGGAGGGTTTTTCACACAGAGGGTCCGAGAGGTGACGAGTGGGGGAAACATCCTTGACTTGGTCTTGACCAGTAGGGAGGAGCTGATAGATGAAGTACAGATTAGGGGAGCTCTGGATGTGAGTGATCCTTTGCTTTGAGATCAAGGGACTGGGGACGTGCAGCAGGTCGAGCACTAGAAGCTGGGACTTCAAGAGGGCCAACTCTAGCCAACTGAAGGCCAGACTGGGGGAAGTCTCTTGGGATAGGTTACTGGAAGGTAAGCGAGTTGAGGAGCGGGTGGATGGCACTCAAAAGGGAGGTTTTGAAGGCGTAAGCCTTGATGATAGCTCTAGTTTGTAAGGTGGGGAGGCGAAGGAGAGTGCCGCCATGGATGCGAAAGGAGGTGGTTAGAGGGATTAGATGAAAGAGGAACCTCCATAGGAAATGGTTACTGGGGCAAATAGACAAAAGGGTATACCGGGAGGAGGAGACCCATTGCAGTTGGATTCTTCATAAGGCTAAGGCTGATTATGAGCTGAGACTTGCCAAGAATATCAAGAGCAACAAAAAGGGCTTCTTTCAGCATGTAAATAGGAAGAGGAAGGGGAGACAAGTGGTGGGACCACTAAATAAGGAGGAAGGAGATCCAGTGACTGATATGAGGGAACAGGCACGGATGCTAAATGACTATTTTGCCTCTGTGTTCTCCCCCGTCCTGCTTTGGGGAGAACACAGAGGCAAAATAGTCA